TTCACAGTTTCTATATGTGTTGGTCTCACTGGAAACAAAAAACGACAACTTCCGGTTATAAGAGAAAACTATGTAATTGGGATTTTTAACTTTCCCAAAAATATTGCTTATAGATAAAGTCTTTGAAATGATTTTCATATATTTTATTGAGACTGCAATTTCCTAGTGTGACGATAACCATCTTATGAAAATGCACTTCCGGTCGCGTGTTTTTCTGTCCTCAAATTGAGATTTTGTTCACCAAATTGCTCAGAAACAGTACATTGCTAAAACTTTCAGAACTGATAGTCAGTCCTCAGTTTATCTATATCATTTAAAAATCGTACGTTGCCGTCACTTCCGGTAGTGACAGGAAGCGATAAAAAAAGTGAATTTTTAAAGTTTTTTTCTTCTTTTTACAGAAATGTTTGGCTAATGCGGATGCTAGATAGTCCATAACCATGCAAATTATTTTCACCGAAAGTGCCAACCGAAAACCCGGAAGTTGTCTCAAACATGAGTAGTTTTTCATAGGGATGATCAGTTGTGAATAATTTAGGTGTAGAATGAACATTTTATTCGTTTGGAGCACTTTCGGAAGTACATAAAGAAAACAGGAAAGTAATTCCGTTTGTTTTTATTTGTATGTACATATCTTTGGAAGCCTTGAGATAACTTTTGTTAATTATTTAGAGTAATCTTTTTGACAAGATTGTGTGGGTTTTTTTTTTCGAAGAAGTCAAGAAAACGGAAGACCTGTTATTGCCTAGGCAATAAGTATCTAGTTATAATTATCTTTTCAATTCAATGGACCGTTCACGGTAGCTTAGTCGGTAGAGCGCTCGCTCCGTGATCGGGAGGTCGTGAGTTCGAATCTCGGCCGCGACAGACCCAAGTCGATAAAATGGGTAGCAACTGTTCCTTCGCCATGCGCTCGGCACTTTGAAGTGAAAGTTGCGGGTCTTTCGGATGAGACCTTAAAAACCGAGGCCCCGTGTCACGGCAGGCGTTGGCACGATAAAGATCCCTCACTGCTCAATGGCCCTGAGTGCCGAGTAAAGGTCAAAATTTGAAGCCCTTCACCGGTATATGGTGACGTCTCTATATGAGTGAAAAATTCTCGAATGGGACGTAAAACAACATACAATCAATCAATCAATTCAATGGTTTTTTGGTGACAGATTCTTGTCAAATGAAATCAGTTTATAAAATGGTATGTTTATTTTTATTGCTTTCAAACATGGGTAGGGTCACTAGTGTCTTTGTTGTGGTATATTTCCTTGTGAATGTTTCATTTTTTGGTGTTTGTATGGTGGATAAAAAAATTAAGATCAGTATCTTACCCTATATGCAAAATAACATAAAGTTTAATAATACCCTGAGGACATTGCTTGAACATCCGGTTCCAGTGACCTTGCATTATTTTAACCTGTTCTTCGACATATTCCGATGAATTTCCTCTCAGTTCAAATGTATCTGATAATGTTTTATTCATAATCTAACTAAGAAAATAAATTAGCTTGTTTCTTTATTATTTTACTTTCTTCTAATTTTATGGGGTAGCATATAAAAAATATAATTTACTTCTCGTTGCTCTTTATTGTAATGGCTGAAATTAAACTTTGAAAATCCCCAAAGAATTATAAAAATCCAGCTTAATTAGTTTGTTTCAAAATCAACGCTTGTACTTGAAATAGCAGAACTTTAATGTTCAAATATTTTGTTTGAAGTAAAAGTTCACTTATTAACTTTTAAAAGTGAAATTGAAACGCTCATTTATCATGAATTGACGGTTAAAAATTTGCATACGACATATTGGAAATCGTTACTTAATTAACAGGAACGACTGAGTTTTTCTATAGTGTTGACTTTGGTGGATCAATACAGAAGTTATAACCAAAAATTTAAAATCAAGAAACTGTAAAACGTTAGGAAAAGCAAATATATATATATATATATATATATATATATATATATATATATATATATATATATATATATATATATATATATATATATATATATATATATATATATATATATATATATATATATATATAATTTTTAAATCTCAGTTTGGTTCAAGATATTTCTTTGATTTAGAATCAAGGTAGAGATGAGACATATCCGTTTTTGGATGTATTTAAGTAACTTTTTCACATTTTCTATCACATTTGTAACAAAAGGAAGCATTATCACCCAATTATATGAATATTCTTTACATTATTTTGTCTGTCTTTTAATACTGAAAATATCCCTTTACATTTAATAAGGAACACTGTCCTTAAAAAAACTACTTTCACAGGACACCAAAGCAATGGAACATTTTAATTTTCAAATGTTATAGTCAATAAAAATCTTACTCTTAAAGTTTCGTGATATGTTGTAATATGAGTGGTTTGGAAATGATATAAAAATTTCATTTCTTTTAGATTAAAGCTCATTTACTATCGTTTTAAGTGAAGTAGTCAAGTATTTTTTATTCACATTCTTCATGAAATGACTGCATAAAATGATCTCACAACTTATCGAAATTTGTACCACAATGAAGTGGGGCGGCTGAACACTGCAGTCTTAATTTTGTAAATTTTAACGTTATGACCATTGCAAAATTCAGATATCGCTAAAAAAGTGTATGCTAAAATTAAATTTCAACAAGGAAAAGGAAATATTTTAATCATATAAAGAAAATCGCATTAAGTAAAAGAGTTCTTGCACAAATAATAAAGAATAGCAAATAATCAATTTTCAAATAATGTTTAAGGCTATCAATAGGTATGATCCAAGAAGACCTTGACACTTTGTCAGAATGGATTAAATGTATAAGATGTATGTTAAAATTGCGCATTAAAAGATTGAGGGGTAATATGTGAAACATCTATCCTTCTGTGTTCAATAATCTAGAAGTGAAAAAAGAATTAGATAGATTACATGATCAGTACGTACTGGTCCATGCTGACAAAGCAGGTAACAATATTGTCTTTATAAGGCTCATTATATTAAATGTAATTTTAGAGGAACTTGGATTTAATTCTACAAGTGGTAATCCAACTTATACTCATAGTTCTCTTTCTAAAGAAGAAATTCTTTAAAATCATATGTCAGTTTTGAATATTTTTAATATTCCAAACAACCACAATGAATTTGAATTACCATATCTATAGTGGATTCCGAAACTTCATAAAAATCCTTACAAACAAAGATACATAGCGGGTTCCAGTAAATGTTCAACCAAGCCTCTTTCGTTACTCCTCACTTAGATATAAACAGAAGTGAAGGAGAAACCTCAAGATTACTGTGCAACAATATATTCGAGAAGTGGTGTAAATCAGATGTGGATACTTAAAAATTCCAAGGAACTTTTGGAAAATTTGAAATCACAAGATATTACCAAATTCAACAGCTTAAAAACTTACGACTTTTCAACTTTATACGCAACCACTCCCAATGATAAATTAAAGTCCAGGCTTTTTTATGTAATTGACAGCTGCTTTTTCAATAAAATGGAATTCGTAAATTTGCTTACCTTGTCATTGGTCATTTGCAAAATTATTTTGTTAAAAAACATTCTGATTGTACATACAAGTACTCTGAAGTTGACATTAAAAAGATGCTTGAGTTTCTGATTGACAATATCTATGTGGTTTTTGGAGACCAGGTCTTCCAACAATCTATTGGAATTCCCATGGGTGCCAATTGTGCCCCGTTATTAGCAGACCTTCTTTTGTATTCATATGAAGCAGAATTTGTCCAAAATCTTATACGTGAAAAGAAGAAAACACTTGCTGTGGCCTTCAACTCGATATTTAGATATATCGACGACGTATTGTCAATTAACAATGGTTATTTCCATTCTTATGTTGATACGATATATCCCGATGAGCTTGAGATAAAAGGTACCGCAGAGTCTGACACATCTGTTTCATATTTGGATATTTTACTTAAAAAGACGTTAATGGTAATCTAACAACCAAGCTTTATGATAAACGTGATGACTTTAACTTTTCAATCGTCAACTTCCCTTACTTATGCAGCAATATACCATCATCACCTGCATACGGGATTTATATCTCTCAGTTGATTCGATACGCAAAAGCATGCTCTATGTATGTACAATTTCTAAAACGAGGTAAATTATTGACAAACAAGTTGATGACACAAGAATATCAGCAGTCTCGTTTAAAGTCATAATTTCGTAAGTTCTATATATGATCTTGTCAGCAATTACAATTTATCATTGAGTCAAATGCTGACTGGCGTTTTTCATACTAATTGTTACGCCATTTTTTACACACTGAATTGTCGATGGATTTTTCCGTTATTTCCCGATCATAACAAAGAGCACACGGTGGGTGTGACTGGTCGGCATCTCCATGGCACCTGGCTCCGGGGCCATAAAACTTAGACAAGCTCACTTTTGATCTCTGTCTCACTTTTCCACCATATATTCCTTTTGTAAAAGTGAGACTGAGATCAAAAGTGAGCTCGTCTAAGTTTCATGGCCCCGGAGCCTGATCCCACCTCTGATGTTTTGGAGCTCCGTGTTTGCTCTGCTCCTATTTTGTATTGTTTGAATACTGTTCGTTATCTCCATATATTTCATCCAGAATGTAATCGAAGACGAGAGGTTTATTCCTTATACATGTATTAATGTTTTAGAATATATATATATATATATATATTACATTACCCAAGCTCATTTTCTTTCAGATTTATATTAATTAAATAACAACCATTTGTATTCAAATATATGACAATTCATCAAATTTTTGCATTTATCATACAAACATTAAAATAAGCAAGGTACATTGACCTTAGAAAACCATCAGTTTTTCTAGACACGAAACTTGAGGGATATTGTTGCTTTCATTAAGCCTTGCATATTAATAAAATTATCAAGACATAAAAAAATATTAAGTTCGTAATACAGAACAAAATTAAAAAAAAAAAAAAAAACAGTGAAAACTATAAAACAATGGCTGAGAGAGAGACCGGTCAACTGTTTATCTCTAAAGTTTTTTCTAGGTCATTTCGTAGATGAATGGGTTTAGGAAAGAACACGGTCTATCATTCCATTCGCCGTTTTTGAGTAAATCAATACAGTCCTTTGAGATTGCCTTTACGGGATCGCCCGCACTGGGTTCACCTGGAAACCAGTTGCTGAAATTCATGGCCAAGGGTGAGTCGTTCCATTGGTATTGACCTTCTATGACAAGGTCATTTCCTCCCGTCCAGGCTACACTTGTATCAAAGATAAATGATGGGCAAGTATCTGAAGAAAATAATAAAGTATTTAATCACATGTTACTGAAAAAATAAAATGATATTTTTATACTTATTGAACACTTTAAATTAAGCCAACGATGCATTTCTACTGATGCTGTTCTCTATAATTGGATATGAAGTTTAGAGTAGACTTAGGAATAAAAAATAAAGCTAATGAAAGGGTTCATTAACTCATCTGAGTTACTTGACGCCGCTGTACTTCAGATTTTTAGATATTTCCTCCCCCTTTTTATTATTCCAATGAATATATTGTGGCCAAACAATAGCCCAAAAAGGTGAAAACTTTATGAAAATTGAATCCAATCAACATTGGAATGCTTCACGCTATCAAAATGACAAGCATTGCCTTGGTTCTGGAGAAGAGATATTTTTCCTGTGTACATGCATCTTGTAAAATATAATCCACATGACTTATGCTAATTTTGTTCTGTTCTTATGTTCATAAGAAAAGGAATAAGAAAAGGAATTTAAGCACATAAGGAGTTTTCAACATCTGACCAACTAAGCTCCTATAATTGAACCGAACCATGTTTCAGGGACGCAGTTAATACAAGTCATACTCTTAATTTACAAAAGGTTCCAGACTTGCGTTCCACCATATTTAAAGGTCATAGGAGACAATTACCTGAACATATTGAGTTACATACGGGAATAAGTTCATATGAGCTGGTAAAATAAGACTGAAATTGTTTTTTGGATTTTCTACGCAAGATAGCTACAGCACAGTCGATCAAAATTAATCAGTCGTGAAAATTCACTTTGACTAACGTTGCTTATCTCCCTTAGCATATGACGTTAGTAAGGCCCAATCGCTGTTCAAAGCTATGCAATGTTTACAAACTATCATGTCATTTTGCAGCTTAATTTTAAAGAATATCATAATCATGGCTAAAACCTAGTATAAGTATACGATCTTCAAACAAGCAAGTATTTCTTTTTAAAAATTCAATTGCATATTTGCAAGATGTTTGCATGTTTTATCAATCAAAATGTGATCATTTTCATTGTTTGACACTTCGAACTATTGAGAGAAAAATAAAGCAATCGGAAGAGAGAAAGAAGGGAGAGTGAGAATGAATTCATTTTTCATAACCAGGGCAGTTGTTTTTATGAAATCATTTATTTACAACATAGTTTTACTTTCACACAGAGTCCAACACTGTCAGTATGACACTTTTCTTGACAAACGATACGTACCTGCTGCGTTAAGTATCACATGACTTTAAAAAAAAACAAGAAAAAAATTTCTTGTGTTACTGTTTTATATTATTAAATCAATTCTTATCATTTGACACTGTCTTAATAATCACTTACTCATGTACAACATCACCACGAATACCCGATCTCTGGCGCCCCTTCCCATCCCCCTTCTTATTTCTTTCTTTTTGTAATTGAAAGTTTTTGAAATAATCGTGTCGTTTTTAAACACACTGCAGATGGGTTAAAAACAACTCTGGCAAGAACTATATGTAAACTTGTATATATGGGAGTTAGTACAAACGACGTTTAAAAAAAAGCAGCTCTAACACGTGGAAATATTTCTATGAAGAATAAGGATTCTACCAAATGTAGATATTGAATGAATTAGAAATCGACATTTTTTTTTAATTTAGTAAAATTTAATAGCGATTCTCTGTAACCACTTAAACTTCTTTGCCACGCATAGTCACCGATTTTGATGAAACTTTGCTCATTATTATAACTTGACACCAGAAACATATATCAAATAAAATTTCGTTGCTATGGGTCTTGGTTGCCATGGTAACAACCAGAAAAGTTGGAAAAATTGAGATTTTCAGCTACTTTGAATCTTTATTAAGCCTTGATAAAGACTAAGAAAAACAAACAAACCATTCTCACAAAAACCTGACACTTTGTTGCCACTTATGCTATAAAGAAACTATTTAGAATTTATCTCTAAGTAAATGGTAACCATGGGTACATTTGGAATACTTTTTAGATGCTGAATAATGCAGAAAAACGCTCAATATTCACTAATGTTAGGTGTTAAATGATCAAACTCAATCAACAACCTAAGAAAAACAATAAAAATATTTGACCTTAAGTAATTAAGTATTGGCAATATTATTCTAAAAATAACTTTCATGGTTGCCATGGTAACACAGTGTAACCATACAAAATATGTTGCTAAGATTGGGTTAATGCTACTATCTTCAGGAAAAACAATAAAATTCATAACTGGCACATATACATCCTTAGGACCTTGCAACACCGACAACATAAGAAAAATTGGGATTTATTGTTACTTTGCAGTGTAACCATGGAAACAATGTACCAGTTGTTTAAAGTGATATTTTTTTTGCTGCCATAGGAATTTACTTACTTTTTATTCAAGAAACATATTATTTGACTCACCTTGAATAGTACTTATCTGGAAGAACTAAAGTTGAATATCATATATTGATGACGTTTGTTGAAAAATACAACACTGTTGCTATGGTAACCAAGAAGGGAAAATGTTCCATTTTGTTAATTTTATATCAATATTAAACCATATGTGCCAGCTTTTTGCATCCAGTTAGAGATTGGGTGGCAGTCAAAATTGAAAGTCAGGTTAGTTGTTCATAATTATCAATCATAAAAGTTTTGGGAATCTACATACAAGGATATGTATCCAAGGAAACAGAATATTTTTAAGATTTTTATGCATATTTTTTCGGCTTATTTCCATAGCAACGCACTATTTAAAGAATTGAATTTGAATTTTTTGAAATGTGAAAATTAGGGTCACATGAACGTCTTTAAAAATTGATCATTAGTTATACAAAAATATGCTTTTTAAAAAGATAGGATAAGATTTAAACACTAAGAGAGTAAATTTAAAATCCCTTCTTTGTATTAAAACCATGGCAACCATTGCCATCCTATAAGAAATATCATATTTCTTCCTTGGTATATGTTGCAAGGATCTTTTGTCTATTATTTGCTTGCATTTCAACCTATAATTTTTTTTTTATTCTTAAGTGTATGATTTTATAAAATTAAATGGGCAAAATTATTACTTTAGAATACTTTGTTTCCATAGTAACGAATGTAATAGTTGATTTACCAAACATGTTTATCATGCATTTAAGACATCAGGCCTTCATCTTTCAGAAACAATCATTGCCACTTGTTTGCTTTGCTGCAAACGTTAACTGTGGGACTCTGAACATGTTGAAAAATGCCATTTTTCAAACTTTAGGACATGTTGCCATGGTAACCATGTCACGTAGCAACCATTTTCTACCTGATTTGAGTTTACATTATCAAAGACTTTTATCATAGAGAGTTTGGAGAAATTCTGAGACTATGCGTGCCACAGCTCCTATATAAAAGTTCAAGTCGTTACAGAGAATGGCTCTTAATACATAAAATACGAAAAAGGTAGGTATCTTTCCAGTCAATTTGTTAAAATATTTATCAAAGATCAGTACTTATCATCGTATACAAACCTGTTTTTTTTTTCCAGTGTGTATTGTATTATATTATTTTTTCTGTAAAGAATATAATTCCAAAAGTTTTATTATCTGTTAAAAAGAACATTAATATTAAAATTGTAGTCTCGCAAATGATGGATGGATTTGCAAACTGATCACGGACTGTACTGTTTACTACTACATACCGATTATTTCAAAATTCGATATTGTAGAGTCAAACCGTGTCTGCACAAAGTATCGGCATTGTATCAATCTCATTTGCTCTGGGCTCAACATTTCTTCTTTATATATATATATTTTTATAGAAGAATACGATCATGTCATAAACTCAGGGATTCTATTGCTGTATCGTTTTTACAGCAATATGTGTGTTTCGGATCGGGGAAAACGAAACTTCAAAGACGCTAACATTTTTAGTGGTTCACGCTTATCATGGACGTCAATACCACCGGTCCCGTGTTTATTTTGGGGATTCACATTAGGGATATTCCCCATATAAGTGTCATATTCTTTCTTTAACAGAATATTATAAGCTTAATCAAAATTTTTATTCATATCAGAAAAGGTCACTTTTAATAAATTATTCTATTTTATGTTGCATTATTGCGATTTTTCTTGGAATAAAAAACGACTTATTAACTTTTTTTAAATGACGATGGAATCCTTTTGGGATGTCGTATACCCAGATAGCAAGACTACATCGGGCCAACGTTGGTTGGTGGTTGGTAGGTTGGTATAGTGTTGGCGTTGGGCGGTAAATGTTGGCCCAACATTGGCCCAACGGATGATATGTTGGCATGAGAGCTGGTCCATCGGTGTTGGGTATGCGATGTTGGGCCAATGTTGGTCCATTGCAGTAAATGTTGGCATGAAACATGACCATTATATGTTGGGCATTTGATGTTGGCCCAACGTAGGTCCAACCAAGTAGATGTTGGCTTAAAACAAAGCCACAGTATGTTGGGATGTACTGTTGGCCTAACATAGGGCCAACCAAGTAATGTTGACATGAAACACATGAAATGTGTGTTGGCATGTAATGTTGGTCCAATGTTGGCCCAACGTAGTAAATTTTGAATATAATGAGGTATTGATATGGCTTTCAACGTTGGCCCAGCGTTGGTTCAACGTAGTGAATATTGGGATAAAATCAACTTTCTTTAACATACATGTTGGTGATCTGTTAATTACACATATTAAATTTGTATCTTTTAGAACCAATTAAGCTTCTTTCAATAGAGACATCTCATCTTTCGTTAAAATATTATGAACAAGGGATTATCTTAATAACCTATTTATTAATAATTTACAGTGTATGTGTTAATAAAAACGAAAAAATATTCCAGAACCTAATTTATGAAAATAAGATTTTTAATACTGATTTATGTTTGTAATTTGTGTCCGAGACAATTGCAAATACATGTAGAAGTTTTAATTATTCTGCACAGTATAAATTTTGTAGATTCTATATTTAGCATCATGGAATTTAAAGTGCTGAATTTTAGAGCTCCAAATAATTAGGTCAGTGGTGAAATCCACTGGCTCA